CCCCCCCCGTGGAACATTGTCATCTAACTTCCCCTCGTTGGAGCGCACAGAAAAGCCTTCAGGTTTTAAAGAGACTTGATCCCCTTTTCCAGACATATTCTCAGGGGATTACGCAGTGAGGCCCAACTAAAGCACCCTTAATCAAATCAAAATAAATAGCCCCCTTCACAATGGAAGATGCCACTTTTCTATTTTGCGGGGGATTTGTCCCCTGTGGAAAAATCTCAGTGCCCAAATAGGGAATACGCTGTTATGCGCGCTGCGTGCCGTGGGTGTGGACGGCTCTCGCACGTATAGGTGGCTGCTGCTGTGTCTGCTGCATGCGCGTGTTGTCTTTCAGCTGTTATTGAGGCTGGAGTCGAGTGAGGCTTTTAAAGCCAAAATGGAGGGGTTTAAGTGCGCCTTAGGAAAGCTCCTGGCGTCGTGGCGTCGTGGCACTCCGGGGCAGCGAGAAGCATTTACTGCAGATTAGAGCTCCTCTCAAGTGTTTCACAAAGTCAGCCTTAAGCTCGCCAATTGTTCCCAGGGCCACACAGCTCACCGGGCCACACCTCAGAGTGGGTCTCCTCGCATACGTGCAGGTTGGCGGCGGCCGTGAATCGCGGCGTAATCCCGCTCTTTACGCTCCGCGGCTGTCGCGGCATTATTTTCTTGATGGATGAAATTGCTGCATGTGTCACTGTGGTGGGTATACGAGCACCAGCTGACACGCACACTCCATTTGTCTCAAACCAGGTGATTGATACGACCCGTCTGCAGCTTCGTGCCGTTCTCATAACCAAATCGTGGAATTTAGCAGGACGTCTGAAGCGACAGCCATGTTTTACGTTTCAGGGACTCCGTCTGTGTAGCTTCTGGTTTTCTGTGATCTTAATGAGCTTTTGTTGGCTGATTCACGTGTCGTCTTCTTCCAGGCAACTACCCACGGCCCTCCAACTACAGCGGCGCAGCCAGCACCGGCTACAGTGGCCCCGGCCCCGGCGTAACCAACAGCCTGGGCATGAACGCTACCAGCCCCATGCACGGCCAGGGGCCCGGCCAGCCCGTGCCCGGAGGACGCGGCCACGGCCCAGGCAGCCAGAACAGGGCGTACCCGGCCATGGGTCCCACTTCTCCCAGCGTACCCCAGCCAGCTGGGCCCGGGATGGGTCCCCCTTCTTTGGGTAGCTCTAACCGCAAGACCCAGGAGGCAGCGGCGGCTGCCGTGCCGGGATCTGCCAACTCAGTGCACAACAGGTAAGAGCGCGGCTGCAAACTCAGCACATTAGTGGTGCATATGCTGCATGCGAGCTAACGTATCCCAGCTGTAGCTGTTAGTGGTCCTGATGGTGAAAAATGTATTTTAGTGCGATTGTGCCGTATGGTTACTGTACGCTACAGTTCTGGGTCGGCGAGCTTCTCTGCCGTGCGTTAGCGTCTAACGAGAGGCATCGATCTGCCGGGCGTCTGTGTGCTGAAAAGCCCCGCAGAGGCTTCCTGAGCCACTTTCTTTTTCTCCGAGACTCTTTTCAGACGTGCAGGCAAGAGTTGCTCTCAGGGGCTCCACTCGTGCAACTGTCCCTATTTTCACACATCTCATAAAGTACCTGACATTTTGATATCTGGCTCTGTGCACTGAGTGCCGTTTTCTTGCAAAAAGAGATATATTGGCGCGAGAGCAGGCGGCGCGGTCTCGACGCGGCGCCGTCGAAACATAAGAGAAGAAAAATGCAAACCGACTGTAAAAACACCAGAGAGCGCAGTGACACCGAGCACCTTAGCGCACATGCACGGCTCTTTGAAGCTCTAACAGCGTGTGAGTTCAGGGTATTATTTTCCATCAGGGCGGGAGCTGTGCCTGCACGAGCGCTCGCAGCGTTGGAGGCAGAGGGGTTGTTGTGGGATTGTGTGGGCAGTAAACTTTCGCTGAACCCTGCCGGGGGAACTTGTGAAAACATCGCAGTCTTCTGAGAGGAAAGATGGCTTTCTGCAGCCGCGCCATTCTGGGTGCGCTTTTCCTAACAAATGCATCATGGGAGCAGCCTCGGCGGCGCTCACATTAGCGTTCGCCAGTGTTCAACATGTGGGTTTCTCTTTTCTGTCGGCGGTCTGCAGGACGCCTCTGCACGCGAGGCCCCCAGCCCAGAAGCAGCCCACCTCCACCCGCTGGCCCACACCCCACCATTCCTCCACCTGTCCACCGCCTTCACCCCCACCCCGACCTCATCCTCCATGCATCCATTCGCATCAACATAGGTAGGTCCACGCCCATCACCACGCTTGTGCCTTTAAATCAGTTT